CTAGAGTGTTGCGGTGAGGCCGTGATGTCACTTCCGTTTATGTGACTGGAAGTGATGCTGCAGTGGCTGACACTGAACAATACCTAATCAGTTTCGTGTAGTGGTTAAGTGCGCGGAGTCTAATCTGGGAGAACCGGGTTTGATTCCCCACTCCTCCACTTGCAGATGCTGGATGACCTTGGGCAAGCCGTAGTTCTGGCACAGCTGTTCTTAAAAAAGAGCAGTTTCTGTCAGAGCTCTCTTAGCCCCACCTACCTCACGGGGTGTCTGTTGTGGGGAGGGGGGGGGAAAGAGATTGTTAGCTGCTCTGAGTGAAGGGGAGGGTATGAATCCAATCTCTTCTTCTTCTTCTACCTCCCAAAGCTCTTGGGGTTGCCAGCTAAGGGGTGACCCTGGTAGGGGCCTTGGCTGATGAATTAATTTAAAGTTGAGGTAGCAATAGTGGCTGAATTTTGGATCTCACCTCTCCTGTGAAATCATTAGATGGTCTTAGGCAAGTACAAGAATCAGTTACTATAAAACGCTCTGCAAACTCCCATCAGACCTTCTCCCCTCTGTAATATGGGCATACTAATTCTCACCTACCTTACAGGGTGGGTAATAATGTAAATGAAGGTCTTTGGGCACCTGAAAGCAGTGTATAAATTCAAAGTATTGTGATTGTATTTAGTAGTAGTGGTAAGTAAGTTTATTGTATATGGCCGTTGGCCGTTACAATATAAAATATAAACACAAAATATAAATTTAGGGTTCACCTCCAATAACATTTTATTGGTATAATACAATAGTATTAAGAAAACATAACAATGCCTTCAGAATAAGACTGTACAGCATTTGAACAAATAAAACAATCGAAGTTTTAACATCATAAAAGCTATGCTACCAGTTTTGTAGCTCTAGGAAACAACCTTGGATCTAACTTTTCTGGCTATGATTGGATTTAGTGAACTCATCATTGGAACAGGCCCATAGCTACAGTGGGGCAATTCCGAGGCCTGCCCCCTTAATTAAAAGCCCCACCCCACAAATAGCCATGTGTCAGAACCCACAGCTTACAACGAAGTACACACATTCAGGAACGGTTATACTTTTATTGCAAAGCTATAGATGCAGTAACACAGGCATTGTTAAGAATGGTGGCAACCGTTAGAGCACTCCAGAGAGTTATCATCACAGCCCAGAAGATTATTGGCTGTCCTCTCCCATTCATGGAGGAATTGTATAGTTCTCGATGCTTGAAAAAAGCAAAGAACATTTTGCAGGACTTGTCACACCCTGAACCCTGAACACTCCCTGTTTGAACTGCTGCCTTCGGGTAGAAGATATAGGACAATTAAAACAAGGACAAACAGATTAAAAAACAGTTTTTATTCGAGAGCTATTATTGCTTTAAATGCTGTATGAATTGGAATTTGGGTGACATTGGTGGTTTAAGTTGCAATGTGAACCTTAAGGGAGTTATGGGATGGTTGTGAATGGTTGTGTGAGTGTATATGAGTATGGTTGTAGATCACCGAATGATTGCATCTTAATTTCGTTGTACTATGTACAATGACAATAAAGTTTATTATTATTATTATTATTATTATTATTATTATTATTATTATTATTATTATTATATATAGGACATTCATATGCACACACACACACCCCATGGCATGGGCCAATTATCTACCCTCCCGCACGTGGGATCAGCTAGGAAACCGTTAGGTGGCAAAAGCTGGGAAGCAGTAGTCTCTCACGGTACCTAGTAGACTTCCAGACAATACAACCTCCTCCTGCACATCTGCAGAGATAAGCATTTCGGCACAGGCAGAACAGCAGAGTTAGGAATGCAATAGCAATTACCAAGACACAGAATGAACTCCCCAACCCCCATGGCAGCATAGCTGACACCATGCCAGAAACCTTATTTTTAAAGAGAGGACCCCCACACACACACACACTGCCTGCTGCTGGCAGTGGCGCCGTGGCTTGCCCTCGGGCTTCCCTCTCCCTCCCGCTGTGGAATTTGGGGGGAGGCATCCTGGGACCTGGGAAAAGACAGCCCAGAGGGCATTGAATTGCCTCCAGGAGGCATTTAAATACCTTTTGGGTTCCCTTCCACAGGGCAAGAAATCTCAGAAGGGCCCTCAAGAGTGGCACCTTCCATACGCCTCCAAACAATCCCCCTTTCTGCTTGCCCAGTCCTGCTGTATACCACCTAGGTCATGGTGAGTCTTTTGAAAGCATCCCCATGAGCCAAAGGTAGGCATTCAGATTAATTTAATTAACTGTAATTTAACTGCCCCTTTAAAAATTTTAATTCCCCCCAGAACAAAAAAAAAAATCCTGGCTACGGGCCTGCAATGGAATATGCATATGTTTGTACATGTATACATAAAACAATGGGCTGGATCCAGCCAGCTCTTTCGCTCACCTAATTTCTCTCCTTACATATAATGGGTTGGATCTAACCAGCTCTTTCACTCACCTAATTCCTCTCCTTACATATAATGGGTTGGATCCAGCCAGCTCTTTCACTCACCTAATTTCTCTCCTTACATATAATGGGTTGGATCCAACCAGCTCTTTCACTCACCTAATTCCTCTCCTCATTATAGCCCACATCCACCTGGCTTTTGTCCATGCAGGCCCTGTGATCCCCAGCATGTCTTTTGACTGTGCCAGCAGAAAAGCTGTTTGGATCCAACCCAGTAGTCCTGAAGATGGCATTATAACCTGTAGGTTCCGTCGGCACTTGCATTCAAAATAATTAACTCTGTAAAAATCTGCTGCTCTATTGACTGGGGGGCACCTAGTTAAAACTTTAAGTGGGGCAATCTGTTTGTTGTGCAACCCTAAACAGAGTTACACCCTTCTGAGTACACTGAAGTCAATGAGCGTACAAGAATCTAACCCTGCTTAGGAATGGACGGTTGACGTGGCCACTTTCGCAAGAAATGAAGCTGCGGTGGTTCAGGAAAGGCTAAAGCAGAGGGATTATGAGAGGGGGTTGAAAGAGGAGAGACGGCTGAGGATTTTGAGCCGTAAGAAATGGCATGGCAGACCATAGGGAAGAGAGGAGGTTGGCTGGAAAACAAGACTCTCCCCCACTTCAAATGCAGACATATACCATAATAGACTGCTCTCTCTGACCGGACCTCTCAAATCACTTTCTCCGATCTATTCCATTTCAATGAGATTGTAGAGTTGGAACTGCCATCTTGGCTAGTTGAGGCAATAGCTTGGGAGTGAGGCTTCAGGCATGCAGAAGTGTCTGAGTACTTGCAGCATTTGAACACATGAATCTGCCTTGTACTGAATCAGACCCTCAGTCTATCAAGGTCAGTATTGTCTACTCAGACTGGCAGCAGCTCTCTGGGTCTCAGGCAGAGGTCTTTCACGTCACCTACTGCTGGCCACAGGGATAAACAGCTTTAAAAGGAGATTAGATAGATTCATGGAGGATAAGTCTATCAATGGCGGCTAGCTGTTGCGACTGAGGGGAACCTCCACATCCCAGGGCCAGGAAACAACATCAGGAGAAGGCCTTGGCCTCTATGTCCTGTTGATGGCCCCCCAGAGGATCTGGTTGGCCACTGTGTGAGATGGGATGCTGGACTGACTGGGCCATAGGTCTGATCGAGCAGGGCTCTTCTTACACTCTTATGTTCTTCATGCAATGCAGAGGCTCTTCCACTGAGCCAGGACCCTGCCCTAGTTGGGGGCTGGGAGAGAAGCACTGGGAGAAAAAAATAAGGACTACTTGTAAGCCAGTGTTGTGTACTGGTTAGAGTGGCAGGCTAGGATCTGGGAGTCCTGGGTTCAAGTCCCCACTCTGCCGTGCAAGTTTGCTGGGTGACTTTGGTCCAATCCCTCTCTCACAGCCTGGCCTACCTTGCAGAGTTGTTTTTGTGAGGCTATAATGGAGGAAGGGAGAATGATGTACACCCCTTTGGGTTCCCATTGGACAGAAAATCGGAGAATACGTATCTAAATAAATGGACTCCATGATTCCAGACGCACATTCCCAAGCACCTAGTGTTTTTGTTCATTTTGACTTTATGGGCATTACATAATTTCTGCTGGGCCGAAAGTGGGGATAGAAATACTTAAAAATAATAAATAACAGTGGTAGAGTATCTGCTTAGCGTGCAGAAGGCCCCAGGTTCAGTTGCTGGCATCTCCAGTTGGTGATGTGAAAGACCTGAGACTTTGGCAGAGCTGCTGCTGGGATAAGTAGACAATACTGACCTTGATGAACCATTGATTGGGGGGGGGGGGAAGCCCTCAGTGGAAGAGCCTCTGCTTTGCATGCAGAAAGTCCCAGGTTCAGTCCCCGGCGTATCTCGTTAAAAGGATCAGGCAGCATGTAATGTGAAAGACCTCTGCCTGAGACTCTGGAGAGCTGTTGCGAGTATGAGTAGAAGACACTGACCATGGTGGACCAAGGGTCTGATTCAGCATAAAGCAACTTTATGTCTCCGTGTGGTTGCCGAGGGCATATATCACAGGAAACCACCATTTTACATTCAGATGATAATCTGTGTCGTTCCTTAAAATGTACTGCTGGCGGAGGTGTGGCCCAACCATAAAGTGGAGGCCTGTTGGATCGGGTGATTATAGGGTTGATATACCAAGCAGCCTGTTTGAGTTCCAGACAGACTGGCAGATTTCAAGGATCACAAAAGCAGTTAATATCAGGTTGTGCTGTGATGCCGAATCCTGGCGGGGAGGACGGGGGACCTCTGAATCACCCATGCAGATACTCCCAACTTGGTTTGCTTCCAAGGAAGTGATTCAGTGTTTTGTATTGGATAACTCGTGGAGGGGGGAGGGGAAGCGTAAAGGTGGAATAGAGAATATGTCTGGGAGCATTTAGTCGGAACAGTTGTATAATTTGTATAACACAGCACTGACCTTTTTTTCCCCGTTTCAGCCACAAGTGTACATTGTAATTGCCTTGCTCTGAGGTAAGCGTCTATTTACAGCCCTTGTTTATTTTTAATTTTCAACAGCCTCGATAGAGAGTTCTCCGTAAGCGTCACCGGCCTCTAAAGCTGCTGTCCTGCCAGACGATACGAAAAGTGAACTTCCCCTTTGCAAGAAAGGAAAAAAAAAAGCATAAACAACAGAGCTGCCAGGAAAAGGCGATGGACAAGAACTTGGAGAAGTAGCCGAAGCCCCTCGCGGCATTGTCACTCGGAGAAGCCCTGGGAAGTCCTGGTTTGCTTGCAGAATTACGTCGTGGTGTGTCCGGCCACAGTGCTCACTTCTCCCAGCTGGTCATTGGTGGACCCTTTCCGCTGCAAAACAACTGCCGGTTGTCATCACTGTGCATAAAACTTTGGGCTCCCATGAGGGGGACTCTCTGCGTCCTTCACTAAAAGTTTCTTTTCTTCTACTTTTTTTTAAAAGCATGGTAACTACTGAATTATCTTATTGTATGCAGATGGCATGATATTGGGGGAGGGAGGGAGAAGGGGGGGAGGGAAACACCAGCTCTGCACACTCAGTGGCAATGTTCACAAATGTCCTTACACACTGATAGGAATGTAAACATATCCTCTACGTGTTCAGTAACACAGCGAAATGATATCCCCATCTTATTAGGACGGCTTTCCATCTGTGGTCTCTGCACAGGCGTGCTTGCAGATACGGTAGCGGTTATGGGACACTCTTAGAGAGCCAGTTTGGTGTCGTGGTTAAGTGCGCGGACTCTAATCTGGGAGAACCGGGTTTGATTCCCCGCTCCTCCACTTGCACCTGGCTGGATGACCTTGGGCAAGCCATAGTTCTGGCACAGCTGTTCTTGAAAAGAAGCAGCTTCTGCCAGAGTTCTCTCAGCCCCACCCACCTCACAGGGTGTCTGTTGTGGGGAGGGGAAGGGAAAGGAGTTTGAAAGCCGTTCTGAGACACCTTTGGGTAGTGAAGGGGAGGGTATAAATCCAATCTCCTCTTCTCTTCTCTTCATCTTCTCTTCTTAGAGAAGATAATTTGAAATGTTTCAGGGGCTTTCACTGGGATTGTAATCTAAGCATAGCTCACAACGTGTGTGTCTTCACCAGTTTGTGCAAGGTTGGTTTGCTCACTTGCCTGAAAACTATTTTGGCTCTTTTGGCACTTGATTTACATTGGTAGTCAGATGGGAGCACGTAAGCATTTGTGCTGGACTTGCCCTTTAAACTGCGAGGAGGGACAGACTTCAGTTGTATTTCTGCATGTTAAATAATAGAAGAAAAGAAAATGATCAAGGAAGATGTCCTTCCTTTGTTGTGAGAATCCAGGTACTTTTACCATGAAGAAAGATGTAACGTTTTTAGAATAGTAGAGCTGGTTTCGAAGGGTCTTCACTACATTTGGTACTGATCTATCTTTCCTGGGGCTAGCGGTGAAAAGCCTGTTCTGCAAGTTTGCTGCAAAAACTAACTTTGCAAAGTGCTGATTGGCTAGTGTCAGGGATATCATTGATACACCTTCTTTCCATCTCCAGAACAGTTTTACAATTATTTTTAATTGCTTGAGAAGCTTTGGATATTTTTATCTTGTTTCTAAAGAGAGAGAGAGAGAGAGAGAGAGAGAGAAGGTGAGGGGTGATTATATAGATCTATATGTGCTACTTAAAAAAAAAATCAATTAAAGGCAGAAACTGCACCTGAAGCAAAGCTGGTGGCTGTTCCAGTGTTTAACTTGCTAGTTATATTTGTTACCGGAGATAAATTTCAAAGCTGGGATCACACTGCAGGTGAGGAGCCTACTGTGGCCACTGTTTAAACGTTACACCTGTCTTCAATCTTAAACACTATTTGTTTCCATGGTTATGAGTAAGAAGGCTTGAAAAAAAATGGTCTTCCTTTCCCCGCCCATTCCCCTTTCTCCTTCCTTTTTTCTTTTTTTTTTTTTGGGTTCTGATGGACATGGAAGACTTTTGTGGATGACGTCACTGCAACTTTAGGGGTCAATTCTGCCATTGTAGTTAACGGTGAACAGCTGCCAAGACCATATCTTTGGAGGACTGAAGCTTCCAATGAATCGATGTCCAAATGTCACTGAGAAGCTCCACTGATTGGCGGTTTCTACCATTGGCACCAGGGTTGCCCACGCCTTCAGGCCATTTTTGAATTGTCCCCAAATTCTGTTCACTTGGCAGGTCATTGTTCGGACTGCCAAGCCAGACTTCCTAAGGATACTTGGGAGCCCCTGCATCTTCAGTAGGGTGTTGGGGGGGCTTCAGAGCATTCCAAAGGGACATCCCTTGGGTGTCACGAAGCTGTTGTGTTTCGAATCACTTTGGACTGCCCATTTTTGCACAAAAATCTCTTTGCCTTGCTCTCACAGACTATTCTCTTAGCGGGCACTGAGGTCAAGCAACACTGTTCCCTTCCAATGTTAACCGTAACTGGCTTAAGACTGTTGCATCCCAAATGGAGTGTCGCTCTCCCCTGTTCACTTTCCATGTTGCCAAGATGCCGCGAGTCGTGACTTCATTTTCATCCTTGATAATGCCAAGGGAGTATGTTTTCGGCCCAATGTCTTGCTTTTAGTTCTTCTTGGAAACAGACCTCGTATGTAGCAAAAAGATAGTGTTAGCATCCGTAAGAAACCAAGTGGTTGATCTTGGTGGTTCCCAGACTAGAGATTATGGGAATCTACAGTCTCTCTCTCTCTCTCTCTCTCTCTCTCTCTCTCTCTCTCTCTCCAGTGTGATACTGCTCCGCTATTGAAAAGCTTTTCATACGTCTACCAGTATAACAAGCCTTTGTATCATGCATCTTGGTCTTCTCAGTGCGACAAAAAGCACCTGAAACTGGAATAAGAAACTAGCAGTTATCTGAGTTCACATGTGGATCTTGAGCCACAAATCTCTTTTTCTTCTCAATAATCACGCGCCATTCACGCCGCTGCTTGCATCGCTGGTCTAGTTATAGCAGCAGTTTAGGGATTAGGCAAAGCACAAGTAATTCAGTATTTGCACATTTGTTAAACCACAAATCACTTTATTGGTGCATTTTTCAGGGAGTGGCACAAAATTCTAGGGCTTCTCTGGTTTGAAGGAGAAACGGAAATCCATCCAAATGGCCGACTTTGTTATAACCTGTCATCAAGACAACAAGCTATTCATTGATAAAGGACATTGTTTTCTTGATATAGTTGTGAACTTCTATGATGGCTGGCCATATTTTTGTTCATTTTAATTGGGCTTCTTCATTTGCGATCTCCTGTCCCAGATTCAGTACATTCTGTGGCATGTGAGAATAAGCCAATTGTGACCCAATACATGACATATAAAATGCGACAAGTGTCATTCTGGCATAGTGGTACAACCTGCAACAGCTGCCAGATTGGCAGCGGGGAAATCAATGCAGGGCCAGATGTTTGCAGGGGAATGGGAGAAAGAAAGGGGATGAGATGATGTGGCTAAAGGAATAGCACCAGAGACGTAAGTAATGCCACATGACAACTGCTGACAAGTGCTCCTCTAGGGTCCCACGTCTACAACTAGTGCCTCTGATTCCTACCAGTGGTGATACTCTTACAGCTGTGTGCCTACTCCTCTTTCTTTATGCTCTCCCTCTGCATTTTTATATTCGCACCAGCAGCCATTGGTTCTGCCTAAGGTAGTTTCAAGTGGGTAGCCAAGTCAGAACAAAATGCAAGTCCAGTTTTGTTGCTCTCTAGGAGGCTACTGTGCTCCAGTTTTGTAGAATCATCCGTCTCCCTTGATAATCTATTTGCAGACTCATAATGGACTCTTAACCCTGACTTGGGTCGTCCAGGCTAGCCTGATCTCATCCGATCTCCAAAGCTAAGCAAGGTCGACCCTGGTCGGTATTTGGATGAGAGACCTCCAAGGAAATGTCAGGGTCATGACGTGGAGGCAAGCGATGGCAAACCACCTCTGAGGGACTCTTGCCCTGAAAGCCCGACGGGGTTGCCATGTCAGCTGTGACTTGATAGCAACATAAAAATGAACTCTTGTCGTAGGAAAATAAAAGGAGTCCTGCCAGGTTGGATGGAAGACCTGCCAAGACCAGCAGGCTGTTTTCCATTGTTGCAAAAAAAATACCTCTGAAGTCTACAAGTATGATGTGAAGGCTTTGGATTTTCTCTGGTTTCCTCCCAACATCTGGAATCCAAATACTTGACAATCCTGATTTTCACCCCTACTTCCCCAGCCTCTGAAACTTGTATCAAAGAATGATGTGGCAGCAAAGGAAGACATATCTGGTGCTCAGTTGTATAAGTTCCCAGGTTCAGTCCCGCTCAGGGAGCAAGGAAGGACCTCTCCCTGGGACCTTCAGAGAGCTGCCAGTTGCAACAATTAATACTGTTCTATATAGACCAATGGTCTGACCCAGTATATGCTTCATATGTTCAAACTCCGATACCAGAGGTGAAGCATGATTGTGCTGCAGATTGACCAAGCTGTGGACCTTCCTGTTTTGCTTGTCAACATCCGACTTGAACAGATCAAACAATTCTTCTCCCTCTACGTTATACGTTCTTCCAATATTTAAATATTGTCACTGTATCTCCCTCCTCACCTTCCACTTAATTTTCACAAGACCGAATTCCTTTAGCCTTTCTTCATAGGATGTGTTATTGGTGTAGCTCTCCTCTGAATTCTTTCCATTTTTGTCAGTGTTAATAACTGAACATAGTTCTCCAGACATGACTTCATTTTCAGACTTTGTACCTTGAGGAACTCTTTCTCTGTTGACTCATCTGTGGAGGAAACCTACAAGTCTACCAATAAAACCTTAAGACGGATTCTAGAGCAGTGGTCTTCCACCTTTCGAGGTCCCCATTGAACTCCAAGCACATGATATTAGAGTCACATGAGAGTCAACAATATGATCTCACTGGTGTTGAGGCTAAGTCCACAGGCAGCAGATCAAGAGAGCTTGGGACAGGAAATACAAGCTGAGCTTCAGGAGGAACAAACTAAGAAGACCACCACTATAGCAGATTTCCTGGGGTATATATCCAGTTGATGTGAGGCGCTTGCCAGGCCTAGAGAGCCACTTTATTGCCCCACATGTTCTAAGAGAAATACCCTCCCATTCCCCAGTTACTGAGCATGCCAAGTCTTTCAAGAACATTCTGCTGCCAATGTTTATCTTCTTGTTGAAGAACTCCACTCTGAAGGAATATATTTTGGGGTGGAGTGGGGTTAAGCACTCTCGTTTGTTTCTTTCCTTTGCTCTCAGCCTCCTAAGGAACCTGCGTGTACCGTTTGGTATCAGAGAGATGCTAGATCAACTGGATATGCTTTCAGTCCAACGGCTTCCGTGATTTGCTGCTTCTTCCCAGCATGTCAAGGGTACAGTCAGATACTAGCCCCAACCTG